GCTCAGTGAAATAAAAGAAGACACAAACAAATGGAAAAACATTCCATGCTCATGGATAGAAAGAATCAATATTGTGAAAATGGCCATACTGCCCAAGGTAATTTATAGATTCAATGCCATCCACATCAAGCTACCAATGGCTTTCTTCACAGAATTGGAAAAAACTACTTTAAAGTTCATATGGATCCAAAAAAGAGCCCGCATTGCCAAGACAATCCTAAGTCAAAAGAACAAAGCTGGAGGCATCAAGCTACCTGACTTCAAACTATACTACAAGGCTACAGTAAACAAAACAGCATGGTACTGGTACCAAAACAGAGATACAAATCAATGGAACAGAACAGAGGCCTCAGAAATAACACCACACATCTACAACCATGTGATCTGTGACAAATCTGACAAAAGCAATGGGGAAATGATTCCCTATTTAATAAATGGTGCTGGGGAAACTGGCTAGCCATATGTAGAAAGCTGAAACTGGATCCCTTCCTTACACCTTATACGAAAATTAATTCAAAATGGATTAAGACTTAAATGTTAGATCTGAAACCATAAAAACCCTAGAAAAAAACCTAGGCAATACCAGTCAGGACATAGGCATGGGCAAGTACTTCAGGAATAAACACTAAAAGCAATGGCAACAAGAGCCAAAATAGACAAATGGGATCTAATTAAACTAAAGAGCTTCTGCACAGCAAAAGAAACTACCATCAGAGTGAACAGGCAACCTACAGAATAGGAGAAAATTTTTGTAATCTACCCATCTGACAAAGGGCTAATATCCAGAATCTACAAAGAACTTAAACAAGTTTACAAAAAAAAAAAAAAAAATCAAACAACCCATCAAAAAGTGGGCAAAGGATATGAACAGGCACTTCCCAAAAGAAGACATTTATGCAGCCAACAGACACATGAAAAAATGCTCATCACTGGTCATCATAAATGCTAATCAAAACCACAATGAGATAGCATCTCACACCAGTTAGAATGGCAATCATTAAAAAGTCAGGAAACAACATATGCTGGAGAGGATGTGGAGAAATAGGAACACTTTTGCACTGTTGGTGGGAGTGTAAACTAGTTCAACCATTGTGGAAGACAGTGTGGCAATTCCTCAAGGATCTAAAACTAGAAATACCATTTGACCCAGTGATCCCATTACTGGGTATATACCCAAAGGATTACAAATCATGCTACTATAAAGACACATGCACATGTATGTTTATTGCAGCACTATTCACAATAGCAAAGACTTGGAACCAACCCAAATGTCTGTCAATGATAGACTGGATTAAGAAAATGTGGCACATATACACCATGGAATACTATGCAGTCATAAAAAAGGATGAGTTCATGTCTTTGTAGGAACATGGATGAAGCTGGAAACCATCATTCTGAGCAAACTGTCTCAAGGACAGTAAACCAAACACCACATGTTCTCACTCATAGGTGGGAACTGAACAATGAGAACACTTGTACCCAAGTTGGGGAACATCACACACCAGGGCCTGTTGTTGGGTGAGGCGATGGAGGGATAGCATTAGGAAAAATACCTAATGTAAATGATGAGTTAATGGATGCAGCAAATCAACATGGCACATGTATACATATGTAACAAATCTGCATGTTGTGTACATGTACCCTAGAACTTAAAAAGTATAATAAAAAGAAAAAAATTTAAAAAAAAAACTTTTATAGAAACAGGCCTCACCATGTTGCCCAGGCTGGTTGGTCTCAAATTCCTGGGCTCAAGTGATCCACCCACTTTGGCCTCCCAATGTGCTGGGATTATAGGTGTGAGCCACTGTACTGGGCCAGCCTTTCTTTGTAAAGTAAGGAGACTGTCACTCAGTAGACTTTGACGTGCTCCCATTATTCAGGTTTTATATCTCTTTGACTGATTCTCAGATGTCCTCATATATTATCTCCTAATTTCTGTGTCTGTAATTTGTTTACCTTCTGGGGAAAATGGCATTAAGCTTTATGTTATAAATTTTTATAACATTTATATATGACTATTACACTTTTTAATCTTCAAGAGCTTTAAATATTCCCTTTTTAGAGCATCCTGTCCTTATTCTATGATTTATCATGTCATCTCTTCATTCCTGGTAGTGATCATTTACTCTGATTTATTTACTCTGAGTTTTGTTATATTTCTTGTTTCTTCATGTTTAATTTTGGTTGCTCTTGTTAGTGGTTTTTCTGAAATGTCTGGTTGTCCTGTGCTGTCCATTTATATTTATGGACAAGAACAAAAAAGTTGATTGAAGCCAGATGAGGTGGTTCATGTCTATAATCCAGTGACTCAGGAGGCTGAGGTGGGAGGATCACTTGAGTCCAGGAGTTTCAGACCAATCTGGACAACATAGCAAGTTACCATCTCTAAATAAATAAATAATACTTTAAAAAAGTTAAAAAGCTGATTCAAGTTCTGTGAGCACTGATGGGACGTGTCAAATGTTATGGACTGCATGGTTGTGTCCCCGCAAAATTCGTATGTTCAAACCTTTATCCCAAATATGATGGAACTTGGAGATGGGCCTTTGGGAGGTAATGAAGTCATGAGGATAGAGCCCTGATGATAAAATTAGTGCCCTTATAAGAAGGGACATGAAAAAGCTTTCCCCGCTTACTCTCCTCTTTCTCTTTCCTCCTGTCCCATCTCTCTCTCTTCTCTCTCTTTCTCTTTCTCTTTCTCTCCCTCTGTCTCTCTCCATGCTATCTGAAGACAGCGAGAAGGCATCCATCTCCAAACCAAGGAGAGGGCCCTCACTGGTTATCAGATCTACTGGTACCTTCATCTTGGACTTTCCTGCCTCCAGAGGTGTGAGAAATAAATGTTGTTTAAACCACCCAATCTATGGTATTTTTTTTTTTAATATATAGCAGCCTGAACAAAGACATCCAGGTAGCGATATGCCTGTATAGTGATTAGACAGGGACATGGCTCCTTCATTAGGGGACCACCAACTGTCAACATCTGTTGTCATTTCTCTTGGATAATCCACTTCCTCAGAGAGGAATCTAACAAACTGGTGTGTAGGGATGAGAATGGCAGTGAGGGAGTGAAGGAGGGGCATATCTATCCCTGCTTGCAGTATTCTCAGAGCACATGGAAAAGGGAACCGGGGGTCACCAGTCAGAATAGACTTTCACTCAGGCTTCATTCTCAGTCTTTGTGACTGGTGTTTCCAATCCAAACTCCTCCATAGACTGAACCTTCTGTCAGGCTGTTGACCTACAGCATGGGGGAGGGCTTCTAAGGCTCTGACTTAGACCAACCATCAGCCATTCATTCCATTGAAGGAAAATACCTGGAACCTTCAGTTCCAGAGCCTTTCCAGAGTGCTAGAAATTACCTTGCTTACTCAAATTCACCCGTAGATCTAGGTGTTTGGCTTTCTCCTCCGATTTTAATAGCCATCTTTTCTGGTCCTGAAATGTTGTGGCCATCTCTTCTGCTTTTTCTCTCTTGACCTCCTCATTATATATGGGCTTTGTTGTTGTTTTGGTGGGGGGATGGCTTTGAAAATCCCTTAACTGTAATTTTAGTGGGAATTGGCACATAAATACATGTGTCCAACCTGCCATGTTTAACCAGAAAAAAGAATGTCCTGCTTAGGACATTTTAATAAAGCTTCCAATCCTTGTGCCTTTAAAAGTCTGCATGTTGCTTTCACACTTTATTAGTGATAGCTGCTATCAAATGTTACTTTCACGTTCATTTTCCCTCAGAGCTTGGAGGCTTTCTTCTGTTAGATGTTAAGCATGCACTGATGCTGATGAGAAGAGTGCTGTCTTCATGGGGACTCCTGTTCCTTTACAGGTAATCTGATGTTCTCTCTCTGGAAGGTTTTATGGTCTTTTCTTTATCCTTCATTTTCAAGTTCACAAATTTGTCTCTAGGGCTGAGAGTCTTTTTATTCATCCTTTGGTGCTTGGTGGGACCGCCCCACCAAGAATGGCTCTCACCTCTGATTCCAGCTTCTTGTGTACCCGTGTTAAAGGGTATGGCCCCTTTATTCTGGTTCATCTATCAGTAGGTTCTCATTTGCTTTCAATTTTCAAAAAAATTATTCAAAATCTGTGGGCTGATTCTGCCCACCTCACTTCTCATCTGCTATGGACTTACTCTCTTCTGTGAACCCTGTCTCTTCAGTGGGATCTGAGGAAGGAGAGAGGGTAAACATGTGTCTGTCTGTCACCCTGACCTAGAGTGTGACCTTCTCCCTCATGGTGCTCTTTGTCTGATCGCTCGGACCTCAGAAGGCCCAGGTCTTTGTTTTCTAAGCCAACCTGTGGTTGTTTGTATGAACCTTCACTAGAATATTCTTAGAGGGCAGGAACCGAATATCATTTTTGTGCATATCTAGAAAAGATAGCTAACTGAAATGTTTATGCCAGATGAGAACCTAAAACTTTAAATTATTGCTATTGTGGTTTATGCTTAATTGTAACATTCTCAAATAAAAACTAAAGCAAAACTCTAAAAAGAATACTGTGATTATAGTTCACCTCATTCCTTTTTCTGTTCTTTTTTTCCTTCACTTGTTTTTCACTTTTCAAAAATGGCCTTTATCCCTTGCTTCTTTCCGCTTCTTTTCTGGTGGCTGTATTTATTTTTGTTGAAATTCTTTTCCGCAAGCACTTTTGAAAATGAGTCTAATAAGGGATTCTAGAGTTCGTAAATCTTTTTAGAGTGCCTGGGGATAGGGCCCTAAGACTAAGGTACTTATTAAAAAAGAGTGCCAAGAGGTCTTTTATACTTTGATTTTTAACTTTGGAAATAAAAACTTTTGGTTTTTCATTCATCACTTGGACTGCATGTTTCAGTTCTGAACTATTTCCCTTGGGCTTTGCTAAAATTAATAACAAGCTTTTCAAAACTGTTAGTTAACATTAAGTTAACTCTTCTAGCCCATAAAATTTTCTCAAGAATAGAAATGACAAAAAATTTAACTTCAATAAGAAAGCAATTACTGGTCATCCACCAAAAATTAAAGGCATAAGGTGAAAAATTTATTTTATACAACTCAATTATGTTAAATGTTATAACACATATCGGAACTGTAAATGCACCATTGCTTCACTGCTATTAGTAGTCGCTGTACCTATACCTATCAATTCTGAAGGATTTTTTGTTTTGTTTTTGGTGAAATTTTATCATTCTCTGACTAGTCCAGAAATTTTGGGTTATTTTCTAGTCAAACAAGTATAGAGCTTCTATAAATGTGAACAAACAGTTTATTTACTAGTATAAAAATTTTAAGTAACATTGGAAATTACCTGGACATAGCCTCAAAAATCTAGCTTTATGAATGTTAGAAACAGTATGAAAATGTTAATACTGACTTAAAGTTGCTAGCCTTGATGGACTCACATATTTTATTACCAATTTCTGAAAAATTTAATTTTCCACAAAAACAACTTTGATAATTAAATGAAAATATAGTCAGAAATATTGCCACTCTCGGTGTTATTAATTATTGGGGAAATTTCCATCCCTATTGCTGTTGTCAATCTGTCATTACATGATAAGGACCAAGAAATATGTATTTTAGTAAATCATTTGTTAGTGAATATTATTCAATTGAAACCAAAGGAATTTCATGTAGTTTACATGTCAAGACTCAATTCTTTAAACTAAATATCTTGAATTCAAAATTTACTTCAAAAATGAAAGGGGCTTAGCTTTTCCAGTGCAGTGTTTGGCAAAGTCAGGCTTTTCATGGAGTCCTGGATGAGGAGTCCAAATTTGGCTCTTTGGCTGACTGCAGAATGACTTGTCATCCCAGGTCCTTAAACATGCCATTTTGCCTCTAGGTCATTGATTTTCCAATCATAAAATAAGGAGACTAACATTTCCTTGTGTATGTGTGAGATCATAGCATCTGTAATGACGTCTATGCCTTCCATAACCGACACGCCATCCACCCCAAACATTAGAAAATGCATGCGGTAGGAAAAAAATAGTGAGCTTACATCAACTAAACTTGAAGTTGGACTCTTGAAAGATTATTTTATTCAGCTTCAGGCTTTAAGCCTTGGAAATAATCTTAGATGCAAATGGTGGTAGAATTTTCGGAATGAAAGCAATTGTTTCATTCACTGGTACCAACATTTCTCTTCATGAAAATTATAACATTTAAAAGAACTCCCATTGACCTAGAATGAGTGTTTGATCCTTTCACTTATGCGAAAAAAAATTTATTCTTCTTCAAAAAATGTTTTTAGTATAGCTGTTGGTTTTTCATTACAGAATGCTTACTAAAAATTTAAATAATTTGCCCTGTGGAAAAATTATTTGTGATAATTTTCTTGAAATTATTTCAAAATTTATGGAATATTAAATATATGGAAATATATGTGTAGAGTGTGCATTCGTGTATACATTTTTTAAAGGGAGAAGCTTTTAAAAGATTATAAAATAGAAAGAAAGACTGCAAGATTCAAAACATAGATCCCCTTAAATGACACTTCCATCACCAATAATTGGACTGAGTTACGTAATTTTACTTTAGCAAACAGACATGTATTCTATGTCTCACACGCCACCTGCTGAATGAGAGGACTCCAGATGAAAGGTCAAGAACATAAAACCACAGGAGCTTTTTGAGTGGGTCTTCAACTTAGTTAAAATAAAAATAAAGGACCTGTGTTCCTTGAGAACTGGCCCCTAATTTTTCTTTCTCTACTTCAGAGTGTGGCAATGATGTGTTTGGGGACTCTGGCCAAAATTGAAGGTTTAGGAAACATTGAACATGACTTGAGAATATTTAGCACATTTACAAATGCATTTGGAAATATTTATATCACCATCTATATAAAAATGAAACTGTGAACAGCTGGACAAGAACACTGGTCTACTCGCCGAACTTTTTTCCAAGTTCCTTGACATCGAGGATTACCAATTGCTTGCCAATGGAGAGTCTGATTTCTGAAATGATATTTCAAAAATGTTAGTTATACTAAAAACATACCAAAGAAAAGTCTAATTTACAGAATTAAAACTCGAAGTTAAAAAATACTGATCACAGTCTGAGCAATACAGTGAGACCCTGTCTCTACAAAAAAAACATATATATATTTATAATTATATATATAATATATATAGATATAATTTATATCTATATTTGTTTTAATTAGCCAGACATGGTGGCACATGCCTATGGTCTTAGGAGGCTGGGGTAGGAGGATTTCTTGAGCCCAGGAGTTGGAGGCCATGATCTCACTGCTGCACTTCAGCCTGGGTGACAGAGTGAAACCCTGTCTCAAAAAAAAAAAAAAAAAAAAATTATTTGGAATGCACTTGAAAACTCTGTGTTACCTCCTTCCTCCTTCCTTCCTTTTTTTTTTTTTTTTTTTTTTTTGAGACAGGGTATCCCTCTGCCGCTTAGGCTGCAGTGCAGTGGTGCAATCATGGCTCACTGCAGCCTCAAACTCTTGGCCTCAAGCAGTCATCCCACCCCAGCCTCCAAGGTGGCTGGGTCCACAGGTGCATGCCACCACATCTGGCTAATTTTATAAAGAAAAATTATTTGTAGAGATGGAGTTTAACTGTGTTGCCAAGCTGGTCTCAAACTCCAGGGTGCAAGGGATCCTCCTGCCTTGGCCTCCTGGCTCACGCTGGGATTAGAAACATGACCCACTGCACCCAGTTCCCCCATTTTTTTTTTAATGATCACAAACAGAGTTTCCCTTGTTTAGTTTCTCTCAAAGCAAGTTTTAATTAATTGCTACTTTAGGACACCCTCATGTTGACAGAGTAACTTGGGGTTACTGTATTTGCTTTTCCTGCTCTATTTGAGTACAAGTGCTGCATAAAGGAAAATGGCTGACTGTTCCATGTGTATTTACACTGGGGGGTCTGAACTAAATGATCTCTTTTAATGCTTTCCAACTCTTTGATTTCATAATGAAAAAACAATGAGAGAGCTGAAAAGAGCAAAGCCAGATGATTAAAATTATTATTTTTAAAGTCACTGCTACCTCAGCCAGGGTGTAAATACTTTATGGGTACAAAATAAATTATAAATTCATTTAAAATCAAAACATGGATGAGGTATTCAGAAAAATATTATGTAAATATTTTCTATTTGATATAAATTCCTTGCCCACTTTATTGTTCATATGGTGTGCTCAGTGGGGGCCATGAGGCTCTAGTGACTAATAAACATAAATACAAGTTATTAAATATGAAAACATTCTACAGGAATAATAATTGACTGGAAAGGCCCATATTTTACGTTTTAATCTGTATTTCTACCAGTTTCACCTGACATACTGAAAACCATAATCTGTGTGTGACCTAAATTAGTCTTTGCCCAATAGTTGCCCAGCATGAAGTTGACTCTTCTTTTAGTTTTGAATAGTGTTATCAAATTTAAACACTAAATAAGTGCAGAATTGGGATACAGGTGCATGACGGTAAAACGTTTTTGGAGTCAATTCTTTCAGAGAAACCTACAGATTTTTATAAGATTGTTATACTGCAGAAATGACCCCACCACTGTCTCAGTCAGGGTTTTATGAAGAAGCCCCACCAAGCAACAGTTCTGAAACTTCACTGCGGGTATGAATTACCTGGGCAGGGGTCCCCAAATTAGGACCCTGTAGAGGCCAAAGCCAGCCTACCCCTTCTTTGTGTCTGGACTGTGACTTAATAATTTTTATGTTTTAAAGTGTTGAAACAATAATGATATTTTGTGACACATGAAAATTATATGAAATTCAAATTTTAGGGTCCATAAATAAAGTTTTGTTAGCACAAATCCAAGGTTTGCATAGTGTCTGTGACTGTTTTCCTGCTACAAAGTCAGAGTTGAGGAGTTGTCACAGAGACCACACAAAGCCAAAAATAGCTACTCTCTGGCCCTTTACAGAAAACGTTTTCTGGATCCTGACCTAAGACATTATTAAAAAATCCACCTCCAAAGAGTGATTCAGTTAGTAGGAAATGAGGTTCAGGAATCTGCACATTTTACATCTCCATCTCATGAGATTCTGATTCTAGTGATCTTCAGAACACCACTTTGGAGTTGGAGTGATCAGGTTTTTGGTGATCATTTGGGAATGTGATCTAAACTCCAATATCCTTTTTTTTTTTTTTGGAGACGGAGTCTGGCTCTATCACCCATGCCAGAGTGCAGTGGTGCGATCTCAGATCACTGCAACCTCCGCCTCCCGGGGCTCATGTGACCCTCCCAGCTAGCCTCCCCAGTAGCTGAGACTACAGGCATGCACCACCGTGCCGGGCTAATTTTTAATTTTTTGTAGACATGGGGTTTTACCATGTTGCCCAGGCTGGTCTCAACTCCTGAGCTCAAGTAATCCACCCGCCTCGGCCTCCCAAAGTGCTGGGATTACAGGCATGAGCCACCACTCCCAGCCCCCAATATCCAAATGGATCCATATTCATTGCTGGTGTATAGGGCCTGTGGGTTCCATGGTGGGAACTGGAGCCCTGGCCCCTAGCAGTGCCAGAAAGATGGTCCTCCTCACCTACTGTTTTGACTTCCCAGTCATCCCTTGATATGTTACATACTGGTCAGCTGTCCAGACGTGGAGAGGACACGTTTCTCAGAATGAGTGACAAGAAGAGTACTTCAGTTAATTTCCCTCCTTACCCATCGGAGTCCAGGCCATCTCCGGAACAACGAAGGCTCACAGAGTTCATAGCTGGAGGCTGACAATCCACACACACCGTGTATCCCTCTCGGAGATACTGCATCCATCTAGTCAAGGGCCGGTTTTCCAGAGCACAGTGAGGAGTCAAGGACTCTGTCTTAAACTCCATACAGTATCTACAGCAAAAGAAGTAACAATGACACTTGCTGTAATGAGCGGTGGCCTAACGCTGTAGAAAGTCTTAGGAAGCCTGTCACCTCCGAGGGCATCTGGCCGACTGGAGCAGGTAGTGAGTGCATCTTCACAAGTTACGTGTCAATCACCTTTAAGGTTTCTCATTCCCTGAACCACGGTGAAACACTACTCATAATCACAAAGAACCTTTCTGCCCTTTTTCAGTCCATCACTGAGCTCTCTGGGCAACATAAATGTGCAGAAGTTTGGATATCCTGTACCCTGTCTAATCAGATCACTAAATTGTGCACAGAAGGCCAGGTTTTTGTAGAAACCCAGCCCTTGATAATTTTGCTGATCTTAAGGAATTCTATAAATTGAACAAGCACTTGCTTGAGCCTGAGAACCCTAAAACGTGAGCCCAGGAGGGCTAGTCCTTAACACCTAGGCCAGCACCTCTGCTGTTCTGCTCCACGAAAGTACCCGGGATATTCCTCACCCTCTCCACCCACCTCACGTGCATGGTCTGGAGTAATGATGATGAGTTTTGACTTGAAGTCAATCATCACGGTTATATTGGACATCACAGGTGAAAGCAGAAGTGGGAGGCTGAGACGTACTTTTCTGAAAGAAGTTAGTGTCACCTTAAACTGAGCTGTGGAAATCTCTAACATTATATGTGACTAGACACTGAATGCCCAGGGGAGCATCCAGACATGTGGAATATTTTAGAAATCTGTACTTCAACACAGTTTTCCAATTCTTCAGGGACACAAGACATAGTAAAAACTCTGAGTATTGTAGCAGAAACTTGTTGCATTGTCAGTTCCATGGGCTAATTTCTTACCCATACACTTATGAGTTACAATAGGTTGAATGGGAAGTGTTTGGAGAATCTGCTTTAAAGACCTTTAATAATGATAGGTACAGCTAATTAGTAACTAAAGGTAACAGTATCTTTAGTTATTGAGATAAGAAATCCTACAATGTGGCTTCAATCAATTTCAGACAGCTAACCCCAGACATCTCTTTTTTTTTATTATTTATTTTTCATAGAGATGCGGTTTTCACTATGTTGCCCTGGCTGGTCTCAAACTCCTGGGCTCAAGCAATCCTCCTGCCCCAGCCTCCCAAAGTACTGGGATTACAGGTATGAGCCACCAGGCCCAGCCTCAGGCATCTCTTCAATGCTATTTTCTCATTAAATGCTCATACCAACCTCATGTGGTAGGTTATTAACAGTCATTTTTTAGGAAGAAAAAACTGAGGTGGAAAAAGTTGTTCAAGGTCTTATGCTAGTGAGGGCAGTGTGGGGACCTAAGCATGCAGCTGTCTGGTATTCCTTATCTGATGGCAGAAGAATGGATTTCAGTTGAGCGTAAAGCTGACTTCCAGCCTGTGCCAATAGATTTCCATAAGAAACCTCTGACTTGAAGTGTGTGTCACTTTCAAATTCACCAAACAGAGGTGGTGCTGAAGTCTAAGGTCCCATAAAGACTGCAAGAGAAGCATCCTTAGTATGATTGATAAAATAAGCTCGTAAAATAATCTCATTTGTATACAGTTTGTTTCTTGTTGGAGATTGGACCTGAGAGGTAGATACTTCTTTATAGCCCCACAAAAACCAGGAGGGGACAAGTATTTTCCCAACCCTGATGAAGAGTCCATATTTTAGCCAAAGTCAAAGAGCAAGTAACAGAAGAAAACATAAACCAAGTTGACCCTCTTGCATTGACTTCACTATATAACTGGAAAAACATGATTTAAAAAAAAAAAACAACAACAACACGAAATTACCCAGCATCCTCTGTGTGCGTAGACCAGTGTGGAGACGTAGCTTGTCGTGTTCTCTCCTTGTTGAATGCAGAGGTAGTTATAAAGGCAGGAACTGGAAAAGGGAGATTTCTGTTGAATTCAGGGAGCCAAAGTACTCAGAGCATCGTTTCCCAATCTTGGTTTTGTACCTGTCTAAAGGTCTCCATTCCTAAACTCACAGGGCTACGGCACACCATCAAGGTGTGAAATAAGGCCAACTTACAAATTTGATAAAGATGTATGTGCACACAGATGGGTAGGGAGGGGGCCTGCAGGCCTTTGACAAGCACATTTGTCTGCAGTAATACAACTGTGTGAGGAAGGAGAGGGGCCAGGAGGAAAAACTAGAAGGAAAGGAAAATGGGGGTGAGAAGGGGAACAAGGGAAAAAGTGAGATAATAGAGATTATGAAGAGAAGAGGGGGTTTTTAAAAATGAAAGGAAGAGAAAGAAAGAAAGGGAAAAATAAGATAATAAAAGAATAGAAAGGAAACAAAGAAGAAATGAGAAAGAGAAGACAAAAGAGAGTAAAAGGGGATGGAAGGAGAGAAAACAGACAACCAAAGGGAGAAAAAAATGAGAAAGGAAAAAAGCAGCCGGCGTGTTGATTCATGCCTGTAATCCCAGCACTATGGGAGGCCATGGTGGGTGGATCACCTGAGGTCAGGGGTTCAAGATCAGCCTGGCCAACAGGGCAAATCCCTGTCTCTACTAAAAATAAAAAAATTAGTTGGGAGTGGTGGTGAGTGCCTGTTAACCCCAGCTACTCGGGAGGCTGAGGCAGGAGAATCACTTGAACCCGGGAGGTGGAGGTTGCAGTGAGCTGAGATTGCGCTCCTGCGCTCCAGCCTGAGCAAAAGAGTGAAACTCCATCTCAAAAAAAAAAAAAAAAAAAAAAAAAATGGCAGAAAAAGCAGAGGAGGAAAGAAGGTGAGTCTTCCCCAAGCCTCAGGTAACCACAGCGGGAAAAGTTCATGGAAGCTCTGCCCACCACATAGTACCAATGTGGCTGCCCAGTGCCAGCCTGCACAGCGTTGTCCCCACACAAGCTCAGGGAAAGGAAGTCTTCAGTGGTCCCCTTCTTTTCCCTCTTCCTCCCCACAACTCTACCCCAACTCTGACGCTCTGGGTCAGAGAAAAAAAATGGTGCCAAGAATCCTTCCTCCTGCCTCTGCTCACTTTAATTCTATTGTGTTTGTGTGTCTCCTCTCTACCTCATCACTAAGTCTAGGGAGGCATTTGTTGCTATAATAACACCTATAGGTTCCAGTCTCCTGGATTGACTCTGTTGTCATCTTGAGGAAGGAAGAGTTTTGCCTTGTCCATCACTATAGCTTCACACATTTACACACTCAATAAATATTTGTGCAAGGAATAAATGAACCAGTGAGTGAATGAATGAGGTCATGGGTTTGCACCCAAGACACACAGGCCCTACTTCCCTGTAGTCTCCTGTTCCTATACTGAGCCTTGCAGCCAAGATGGCTCAACAGTCCTCCCTACCTCTGTTTCAGAAACTGGGCAATTCCAGGAAGGGTAGACACAGCTGATATCAACTTGTGAAATGCCAAAGTCATCATCAACATGAGTTCAACAATGTGAGGATACTGGTCGCAAAACAGATGCTTCAAGCCTACATGTTGATTTTACCTATCTCTTTACTATCCCAAGATGACAAACCTTAACTCTTCTTGAGCTTTTCTTAATGAGGAGTTATTTTTGTATTACTAGGGAATTTAAGACAAGAGGCCAGGCACAGTGACTCATGCCTGTAATCCCAGCACTTTGGGAGGCCAAGGCAGGCAGATCACTTGAGGCCAGGAGATCAACACCAGTCTGGCCAACATGGTGAAACCCGGTCTCTACTAAAAATTATACAAAAGTGAGCCGGATGTTGTGGCATTCGGCCGTAGACCCTTCTGTCAAGAGGCTGGGAAAATCGCTTGAACCCAGGAGGCGGGGACTGCAGTGAGCCAAGATCACACCACTGCACTGCAGCCTGGGCAACAGAGTGAGACTGTCTCAAAAAAAAAAAAGACAAGAGCAGCTGCCTAATACCAGGTAGCCACTTGCTCCTGTGTAGCTCTTTTTTTTTTTTGCTACACTGACATGTTTAATTGTTTTCCAAATGTGACCGTAGCGTTTGCATTTCTAAGATCTACAGACAGAATTAGAAAGAACAAGTGAGTGCACGTATATCAGGATCCCTCTCTGTTTCTCTCAGACAGAATTATCAGAAACACAAACATCTAAAGGATTTTAGTTTTCCCATATATTTTCATTTCTGTTCTTCAGACACATGTATGTATTTCTTCACTAAGTGAAGAATAAATTTACTGCTAAATCCATGCAGCATTATACAAGTCCACCTGTAATTTTTTGGGGATTCTTTAGCTCAGATATTTATGTAATCGAGTTTGTATGCATATATCATTACAAAAGTTCAAAGGCAAGGTTCTTAATGTATAGCTCAGAAAAGTTATGAAGTGGAAGGAAAACATAAATATATGACTCTAGTTTCTGATACAAAATTCTTGGAAAAGGTTCTATCATAATAAAAATAAAAGCTAACAATTACACACTTCTGAGTTTCCAGGGACAACTCTAAGTCACTTTTCATGTATTAATTTAATTCTCACAAGCCTCTTGAGGTAGATCCTATTATTTCCCCATTTCACAGATGAGAAAACTGTGGCACAGAGAGGTTAAGAAATCTGTTTAAGGCTCATACCTAAATATAGCCCAGCCAGGCAATGTCTTCGAAATCAAACTCCTCAGGGCGGCACTCCACTGCCTCTATAATAACACAGATGACAAAGTTCCAGTACTGCCTGCAGCACGTTTCCCATGAATTATTTAAATTCGGCTTTATTTTCCCTTTCTGTCACTAATCACTGTGTTTTATGTGAAGTCAGATTTAAGAACGGAAAAGAGAAACTTTTAGCCCCTTGTATCTGGAGTGCCCTCAGGCCATGAGGTAGGGGAGCCAGGGAGGGCACGCAGTGGACGCAGGGTCACCCCCTGGGTACCATGGCCCCTGGTATGTGTATGGCCTTCTCATTTACAAAGTAATTTCACATCATATGTTACTAACCTTCACCAAAACTTTGCAAAGTGGTGTTATACCAATTTCATTCATCAGAAAACTGAGGCTCACCGAGGTTAAATGAAGGGAAGATAAATAGTACGTGACTAAGCAAGAACCCAGCACAGAAGCTATCTTCTGAGGACTTGGGGGTTTTCATTTTTGTTTTCCATTTTCTGTTTGTGTTAGAGACAGGGTCTCACTCTGTTGCCCAGGCTGGTCTTCTGGGGCCCAAGCAATCCTTCTGCCTTGGCCTTGCAAAGTGCTAGGATTACAGACATGTGCCACCAAGCTTGGCCCATCTGTTTTTTAGGACTTTCTATCAAGCTTGGTTTCATGCTCTTGGGATTAGGGTGCATCCTAAGAGCAAGCCAGGGCTGCTCCCCTCCATGTCCTGCCCCCAGGCCTTGGGCTTGGTAGTGGTACATTCTATTGCCAAGGTCCCTCTCCTCACATGATCCAGACTGCCTGGAGGTCCCAGAACCAGCACTACTTTTTAATACACCCCCCTGATTCAATTTGCATTACTTAAGTAATGAAATAACTTAGAAATTGTTTTTGCCTCCCGCCCCACTTCTGCTAATGTGCGGAAACACGTAACCCAGCATCCCCGGGACAAAGGCCCCCAATAAATCTAAGTTCCCCTTCCTGGCAACAGTATTCAAGTGCAATATATTCTTTGTTCATAGGCGATTTGCCAATGTTTCTGGCGTTCTATCAGCCTACCATTGTTTGGTTTTACAACAACTTCCACTTCTAAAAGCAGGGCATTGCATATACTTACTTTGAACATGAAAGTAAATTAAATTTGCTTTGAGAATTTCGTAACGCCCTCTGACACAATGGGGTGTCACAAAAGCAGGCCTGCGATCACTGGTCTGTAGATATGGTGCAGAAGAGAGTAAAATGAAAAATTGACAAATAATATCTACCTAGAGGCATATGGTTTATCATATTGCACCATTGGTCTCCTTTTAGGAGGAAAACACATATATATAAACAATTGTCATTGATGTGCAACACATTCAGTAATGTGGCTTTTTTAATTTGTTTTTATGATAAAAGTATAATCATGGTATGCATTAAATGAAACAGGAAAAAGGAAATAGCTACTTGATCATTAATAAGAGAGCTTCGGGGATCATGTTTCCTTCACTGGCTTCACGGGCCTTTGTATTTCTACTTAGTTACAAGAATCTGTAATTACAATTTTAGCTGTAATGATGACAGTTAACAGCAAAACACTATTGAGGTGGGAAAATCCCACAGGACTTTTAGCCAGGAGATCCAGGTTTAAGTTCCAGTAATCCTTCACACGTGCTGTCACCTCTTGGAACTCCAATGTCCTCAGGTGTAAACCAAGGATAATGACTCTGTCCTACCTCTCTGTGGAGGCAGAACTGTGACCCCAAGGATGTCCGTGTCCTGATCCCCAGAACCTGTGAATATGTTATATTACATGGGAACAAGGAATTAAGGTTACAGGTGGAATTAAGGTTGCTGCTCAGCTGACCTTAAAATAGGAAGCATAGCCTGGGTTTTCCAGGTGGACCCAATGTAATCACAGGAGCCTTAGAAAGAGTTGGTCAGAACCTGGCCAGCATGGCGAAACCCCATTTGTACCAAAAATACAAAAATTAGCCGGGTGTGTTGGCGGGCACCTGTAATCCCAGCTACTTGGGAGGCTGTGGCAGGTGAATTGCTTGAACCTGGGAGGCAGAGGTTGCAGTGAGCCATGATTGCACCACTGCACTCCAGCCTGGGTGACAGGGCAAGACTCCATCTTATATGAAAAGAAGAAAAAGAAAAAAAAGATGTGGCAACAGAAGAAAGGGACAGAGAAATGCACTGTTGCTGGCTATGAGGATAGAGGGCAGTGGCAGTGAGGAAAGGATGCGGGCAGCCTCTGGAAGGTGGAAAAAGCAAGGAAGAGGAGTCTCCCCCAGAGCCTCCAGAAAGGCCTGTAGCCCAGCTGACACCTTGATTTTTGCCCAAAGAAACCCATGTCAGACTCTGATCTTCAGAAACGTAAGATAATAAATCTGTTTTGTTTTTTTGATACAGAGTTTCACTCTTGTTGCCCAGGCTGGAGTGCAACGGCACAATCTTGGCTCACTGCAACCTCTGCCTCCCGGGTTCAAGCAATTCTCCTGCCTCAGCCTCCCAAGTAGCTGAGATTACAGGCATATGCCACCACACCCTGCTAATTTTTTATTTTTAGTAGAGACGGGGTTTCACCATGTTGGTCAGGCTGTTCTCGAACTCCTGACCTCAGGGGATACATTCACCTCGGCCTCCCAAAGTGCTGGGATTACAGGCATGAGCCACTACACCCCGCCTAATCTGTGTTGTTTCAAGCCACTAAATTTGGGGTAACTTGTAGCAGCAGCCATAGAAAATGAATACACTCCACGGGGTTGCTACGAAGGCTGAACCAATGATGTCTGTAAGATCTCTCTGCTATGCAAACATTAGGGATTCGTGTGCCGCACCACAAAGTTGCCTGATCTGTGAACAGGAAGTCCAGTGGGGGTGGGAGGCAGTAACAGGGACACAGGTGATCATGCAGCAGGATGAAAGCCTCCAGGTTGAGTGTGGGCTGCTTCTCCATGCTCCCACGCCAACCTGTGTTTCCTTCTATCCCAGAGCTCACCACCATGAGTTCTATTTAGCTGTGATATGTTTATTAATCAAGTTTGGATCTCTAAAACCTAGCACAGTACTGGCACACATAGGAGGTGCTCAGTGAGTGTTAAGTTAATGAAACCCATAAGTGAATGCATAGTGCCTGGAGTGAAACAGGGCCTGGGGCCCATGGAGAATCCACCAAATTGGATGTTCACGTGATTGCCTCTCATGTCCCTCTTGTTTTCCTCTAGTAAACCATCATTTTCCAAAGAGCATTCCACAGCACATGAATGATTTTAGTGGGACGCTCCATAGAAAGGGAGGTCATATAATCAAATTAAGTGGGAAAATACTGCAAATCCTCTCTCTCTCTTATAGAATAAAAATGCAGATCCACATAATAAAGGCTCTGAAAAGTTCTTTGGTAGCGAAAACTGTTTGATTTACCCCATATTTTCCAACTAATCCCTTTTCTTGCACAACTATTCTAATAAAAGAGGATACGCTTTGGGAACTTCTGCCTTCAGGAAAGTGCTACTTAGGTGACCCAGCTATGACAGGGGGGTGTCTGTCACGCTTGGGCTACAGCAGTGGCTCTCAAACTCCAGTGAGCATCCGAAGCCCCTGGAAGCCTTGCTAGAATGCAGAGTGCTGGGCCCACATGCAGGGATTATGATCTCATGGGTCTGGGTGGGTGAGTATGAGGAAGCAGATCCTGATGCTGCTGCTCCAGGACCACCTGTTAGGAATCACCAGACAGGGTTGTTGGAGGGGTCCTGTCTTCCCCAACTAGCTTGTGACAGGAGTAATCATCACCAAGACATCTCCAACAGGAGGGGAATGCTGGGGACCAAAGTCAGGACTGCAAATGCCAGCCGCCCTCCCTCAAGTAGAGATTTCTCCTCTCTTCCCAAGCTGACATCTTTTATTTTATGATAGTAGTGAAGGAGGCTGTTCAGTACAGATATGCTAAGACATAGTCGCTAACAACTTCCTGCATTGTCCTGGGTAGAGACCCAGGGCTGGGAAGGGGAGCGCGACAGCCTGGTGCCCCACTGAAGAGCCTGATGTGCTGAAGGAACCCTCTAGCAGTCAGGCACGGCACAGGAGTAGGTGGGCTGCTTTTCCTGATAGGTTGGCGCTGGCTTTTAAGAACCACCAAAAACATCCACAATGTCCCACAGCGTCTTCCTCCCCGAGCCGTTTGTGTAGTGTCTCTGAAAGCGACTGGGCACATGTCTGTGAGCAGCCATGCCTGAAGCGCTCAGTGATCTCCCTGTGACCTTAATATGACCTCCGCATCAATGGGGGACAACACTCTGGCCCCTCCACTTGCCACTCCACTACCAGAGTGATCTTCTCCCCTGCAAAGAACACCCCAAAGATAAAGCCCAGAATCCCAAATAGGGTGTTCTCTGTGCGCCCCACACGCCAACCTTCCTTTGCCAATTGCGTGCGGGCCTTGCGCTCCCCCATGTTACATAAAAGAGCCAAAGATGCTTATTCCTCACGCTAGGCTAAGACCCTTTAGCTCGCAAACATGCTGGCACAAAATTCAAATTTTTTACACATGCAACTGTTTTTAAATAGCCAAATAGGCAGATTTTTAGCCACCTAGGCCTGCCTGCCTGCACACCTGTGAAACTATACCCAGCATCTGTTGGCCACTGATAGGCCTTGTGTTATCAGACCCCAAGATGCTGCTGCCCTTCTGAGGTCTCTGACCAAGAGACTCCCCACTGTGCTGCTGGATGACCTCACCTTGACATTTAAGGCCCCTTTCCAGTCTCCCTCTCCCCCAGGAGTTGCTGTGCCCTTCTCCCCAGCCCACCATAAGCCTCTGAAAAGTCTCATGCTGTGAGGGCGGCCCCTCTCATGCAGCCCTGTCCAAGCACTGCCCAGTAAAGCTTGCTGTGCTACTGCCTCTCGTGGATACAGCTTTTCCCTTGATCAGCTTCCAAATCCCTCAAACCCTCTACACCTGGCCATCAGGTTTAACCGCACTAGTCTGCCTGCCTGGGCAGTCTACATACCTCAGCCCCATCTCCAGGGAAGCCCCTCCTCCTCCTTTTCCCTCAAGACCAAGGGGAATCACCTGATTACACCCGCTGAGAGCTCCCTGCACCTCTCACTTGTTTTCTACAGGTTGCACCAATTACTGCAGCTGTAAATCCATTAACTCCCTGGATTATCTGATGATTGCACCCCTCTCACTAGGCTATGATCTACCTGACAGCAGGCTCCACATCAACTTCTCTCACCATCGTGACCCCAGTGCCCAGCCCAGCACCTGGCATCAAGTAGACTCTCAATAAATATTCGTGTGTGGAAAAAAAGAAGGAACAAAATGGCTTTACAAGGATTGTGTTGACATGAAATTTCCACATTCCTATGAGAAACACATGGTTTTTGCTATCCTGAGAAGTCAGTGTTTGCCCTATTGGATTCAATGCAGACCAACACATTAACTTTTTCATTTATTTCTCTGTGAGCCTTGTACGGTCTCTGGCTCATTAATGAGCCGATTCCTGGCCCCTCCATTGGCCACTCCAAAACCAGAGTGATCTTTTCAAATTACTTTAGCCCCAATCCAGTCTTGAGAGGAGAGGCAGGTAAAAGGAATCATTTAAAAATAATAATAAAACGCCGGGTGCAGTGGCTCACGCCTGTAATTCCAGCACTTTGGGAGGCTGAGGCGGGTGGATCACGAGGTCAGGTGATCGAGACCATCCTAGCTAACACGGTGAAACCCTGTCTCTACTAAAAAATACAAAAAATTAGCTGGGCCTGGTGGCGGGTGCCTGTAGTCCCAGCTACTTGGGAGGCTGAGGGAGAAGAATGGCATGAACCCGGGAGGCGGAACTTGCAGTGAGTCAAGATCATGCTACTACCCTCCAGCCCGGGTGACAGAGCGAGACTCCATCTCAAAAATAGTAATAATAAATAATAATAACAATAATAATAAAACAATCATTTTATCATTGTTTAGAATTCTGTGATTTTTCTGCGATTTTCCCACATGTGTGAGTGTGCATAATGAAACAGGAATTGCAGTGGAAGGTGAAATAGCGTTATCCTTCCTGGACACTTACTATGCTGTGTGAAATGTCATCCTCCTATCTAAAGTCCTTCATGACTAGCTTGATTGAGTTCACTCAAAACCACAAGCATGCGGTTTATTTCATTACTGAGCCCATGCACAATGAGAATGGGCCATCGGATTATAAAACACACGAAGGGAAGTGAGGGAAAGGCAGGTGTTTGCACAGCTGGCCATAATTCCTTTATTAAGCATTTCCTGAGCTTCCTATCTACTTTGGGCAGCCTGGCCCATCCCACTCCCTGTGGTGGATGGAACTTTCCCTGGCACAGCATATGGCCTTTTATGGGATGAAGTGGTCAAAAAGTCATCACAGATAACAAAGGCAGCAACCATGAAAACATCAGTACCATAGGAGTGCCCGCAGTTCTGGCCCTGCGGGGTGGAGTACTCCAGGCAGCCGGCTCTCTCTTCCAGGGGTGGGCAGGGCGCCCCGCCGTTCTGAGGCTCCTGCTGCACAGAGCGCCTCCGCACACGGGTTGTAGGCTTGCACTGGTCTGCACAACCACTCCAGGGGCTCCATTCCCCCACGAAGCATGGGCGAGCTGAAAAACAGCACAAAAGGACGCTCACCTGAGTAAATCCCGCCAGGTTGTCAGGCTGTTCCCGCCAACACAAACAGCTGAGTTTAGCCCCATGTAAACTTCGCCTGGCCCCAGGCCCTGTATCAGGAGATGCACACAAAGCCTCAGCAGGTCCCAGTTGACACTGACTCCACCTGCCCACCCTGATGGTGAACTGATAACCTGGTAGCCCTTAGAAGCAGCTGGATACCCGTGGATCCTAAATGTGGGTCTGACCCAGGGAAACACACCCAAGCAGAAGAGACGGATGCTTTCAGGGGAATTTCTCATACTCCCTGGGCCGAGATCAGATATTTGCTTTTGTTTTTCCTTGATATTAACTTTATTTGCCCCTGCCCATAACATTTTTATTATAACAAGACATTCTCATCATAGACAATATAAACAAAAAAGAAGGTATGAAAAAGAAAATGTACTTCACCCACCAACAATCCCATCACCTACCCAGGTCAATTCTTCTCAGCAAATGTGTCTTCATAAGAAACAGGGCTTAGGGCCATGCATAGGGACCCCTATACTTTAAGTTTCTCCTGTTTACTCTATTTTCTTTCTCCATGGCTTGTAGACTTGTAAACTATGAGGGTTGGAGTTTAGAGATGAGCCACCAGGGCCCAGAGAGGTAAAGAGTATTCACGGTCACGCATGAAGAGGCAGAGTCAGGCCAAGAATCTGGCCCTGGAGTCTTTGTGCTGTTGGTCTACGCTTTTCCACACCATTTGGTCGGCGTGGGGCTCAGCTGGTTTCTCGGCAGCCAGCCGTGCACTGGGCTGCTCCCTGGAGTCCAGCAATACGTATTAGGATTCCCCTGATGGACAACTAAAGCCATTCTCCTTCCTTGATTCTGAAGTCCACTTACCAAATCTGAAGATGTAATTTAAAAATGCAATTTCCTCACCATGACCATAAAATCAATATGGCATCACATTTAACTTTCTCATTCAAAGTTCTAATGTGTCTCAGACTGTAATCAGCTTTTACATTGAATTATTTCAGGATTTAAAATTAAATATAAGAAAAGGAAAGAACCAGAAGACAGAAGACGTGCCCATGACCTAGATGCCAAACCTTTTTTTCCCTTGAAGTGTGATCCACTTTCCTGTCATCCTCGTACTTTCCAATTCATAGTGTTTCCCACAAGAATTAGCACTCTGACTTCTTTGAAAGCTTGATTTGAACTTCTGCATTTATAGTTTTTGGAGGACATGTGATTTGGCAGCACATAGCTACCCCTGACATAAAAAGGGTCCCAAGCAACATAAACATGTCAGTATTTTTAAAATTTCCAAACTAGTTTAAAACATGCTTTCATTCCTCAACTAAATACCTATAGGTATCACAAGTCGACTACCTAAAGAAGCCAGAATGAGCCACGTTAGAGTTCATTCCCAATATCCGCCATGCATACCTACATCTTTCAGAAAACCACTAACAGGTCATTTCCTGCTTTTGTTGGCTCTTGTTAGCCCTTCCCTTTTTATTTTCATGATTTCATAATTTCATTGGCCCATCGAAGCAAAAGGCATTGAAAGAGATCCCCTAGGCTGCGAGCTGATTGAGAAGGATTCCTTCTATCCTTCATTATTTCAATACCTCTTTTCTTCCACCTTCAGCCTTGAGTCTAGCTAGTCCTGCTGTGATGTGTTAGGCTTGAACAATACTTAATAAGGCATACAAAAGAATGCACTTGTTTCAAAGATTAACATTTGGACATCACTATAAAATACAATTTTGCCATAGCCTTAACTCAGAACTTAGTAACATGGCCTTGAGTTAGACTCAGTTCTTATGGTAAAAGATGACACTGGGGAGGGTTTTCTGACTGAACTTAGCCTCCCAGGATTCCATCATCATATGTGTCTCTTGTCTAGTATTTGTTTCTTGTATTTGGTTTGGTCTCACAGTTGCAGTCCTCAAAATTACAGAATTAATCACTGCATCAAGTTGTTCCTGTTGGTTACAGTTTGTCCTTAGCAAAACGCTATATCCTATTTTTCCAATCCATGATTTTAAAAGCTCCATAAAGAGAATCAGAAAGTTGTAGGGTCCAGAACAATGACATCTCAATAGCTTCATTATGAGACAAAATAAAAAACACTCACTCAGAATTACAGGAATAAAAAGGTGTTTCACAAAATATTTTGTGTCAGAAGATGAAATAAATTAAGAAGTATTTATTCCTATACTGCACCAAAGATTCTATTCTTGGTTAGCTTGTGAACTTTTGATTATTTGGATTGCAAGCCATCATAGATCACAAGAGATCTTTGGTCATGGAGGATAGGGGAAGTAAGGAAACTTCTGACAGATTTATTACAAGTCATTTATTATGGCTGCCTGACACAGATTTCCTTCTGGACGATTCCAATAGTATTCGTGTCCCCTTTCCCACTAGCTTATCTAATTCACATCTATTCACAGCATATCAAAATATTCTTTTTACAATCTGACCTTCTCAATCTTCACTTGAGTTTCACCAGCTGTTAATGGAGCCGATAGACTGTGGCACCTAGGAGTGGCATGGTGGCCTTTGACTCCAAGTTTGTCACAGCTTCTCAGTTGCTTCAGAGTTAGAATTTGATGACATCATCCACCCCTTTTAGGAGAAGAAAGCCTAGATTTAATGGGTGCCAAGAAGCTCGGTAAGCTTTCTCTTTTCTTTTCTTCTTTGTTTAAACTCAAGTTAATATTCGGGTTGGGTCTCCCCAGAAGCAGCCTGTGAGACATGGATTTAAATGCAAGCAATTTATTTGTGAGGTGATCTCAAGCACCATAGAGGAGTGGAGAACAGAGTCAGAGAAGCAGACAGAAGAGAGCACAGACAGAAGAGAGCACAGACAGAAAATAGACACTTAAAAGCTCTGCTGAAGGCCTGGCAGGCACCTCTGGCTCTCAGCTCATTGGAGAGTGAGATAATGGATATAGATTCAGAGTGCAAGGAATTATCAAGTCCTTGCCCATTTACCAACTGGTCCCCCTTTCTCAAGAGCTTTCCAGCTATCAGAGATTCCTACCACAGCCAAAGGAGAATAAGTGATATATCTCAGTAATGAATCACACACAAGAGCAGCACATTTTCACAGTCCTAAAGGAGATAGCCAGTCACGTCCAAGTACAATTACTTTAAAAGATGGATCACTAATTTTTTAAAAGAATAAATGACTTAAACTCCCTCATTTCATTTGGATTTCATCTGACATCCGAACTCCCTGCTGTGACCTACAAGCTTCCATTCCTGCGTAACCTGGCCTCTGCCTGACCTTCCACTTCCACCTGCACTTCACCGCCCATCTCCGCTCCAAGTTCAGCCACATGGGTCTCTTTACCCCTTGAACACACCAAGCTCTTTCCCACCCTGGGACCTTGTACACATTTTTACTCTGCTGGGAATATTCTCCCCACACTGGGCATAGCTGGGTCCCACTCACTCTTTAATTCCCAGACTAACTATTTCCTCTTCAGGGAGTCTTTTTCTGGCCAGCTTTTTCTAGTCTTCGCCCAGCCCCATGACACAGACACACACACACACACACACACACACACACACACACACACATTTCCTTTCAGAGCTTGGTGTTCCTTCCCTTGTAGCATTGCCATAATTCATAATTACATATTCATTTGTTGTGTTTATTGTTGATGCCCCTGAGGATCATGATAGTTTTTTATTTCATTCCTGGCACTTGGCACGTGGTAGGTGCTTAATCATATTCATTGAACGAACGATGAATGAATGAATGAATGAATGAATGAATGAAATGGCATTGGGCATGTTTCCCCTCCTCCCTAGATAATGTTCTACATTGAAACAGACTCTGATCTGTTCATATCATTTGTTAGAAACCAAAGCACTGACGGAGGCTCCAGCAAAGGAAGGAAGTAGGGTGGAAGGACACAAACAAATCAGAAGCCCCCACAGCCAAACCCATGGGAATTCTTAGTCTGGCCCAGAGTTTGGGCTCTCCTGGCAGCAATGGCCCCAAGGGTGTCCATTGGAAGGAGCACTGTTTTCTGTGCCTAAAGATCAGGTAGGTCCAAGCTTCTCCTGGCAGCTGCGTGTCCTTTAGATCCATTCTGATCTATGTATATCTCCTGCCAGGACCACATTTTGAAAGTAACAAGCTTCTTTACTTTTATTATCTGTGCCATAATATGGCATTTCCTTTCATCTGATCCAAATTTCCCTCACTCAAGAATTTCAGAATATGTTTAAAAACATAATAATCCACGCTTACCTTTTCTGTACCACTCATGGTCTGACGTGGTCTGTGCCACTCATGGTTTGGGGAGGTCTCCTTTCCTCCCAGCCAGACTCTTCAAGGTCATGTCTTCCGCTTTTGGACCCATCTTTCTAGGCACTTCTCATCTCGGAGTTACCACTGGACTTTCTCTAGGTCTGTTCACAGCTCAGGAAGTTGTGCCAGCCAGAGCAAGACACCCTATTCTCAGCCTTTAGGTACCAAAGGGTCATTTAAAAATATACATATTTTTTCAAATGCTTTTCTAGGCAATGCCAAATACATGCACACAGAGAGCAACAAAATGAGCCGACAGCCAGAGCCATTCATTTTATAAAGAGAGTTTGGACTATTTCTTCTTCGATGTGAGGCGTTGTTCTTGTTTTCATGTAACGGTGTCTCCTTGGTTAATCAGAGACTCAAGCACTCTCCTTTGTAATCTAGCCCTGCCTAATGGCTCTTTGCCATCTAAAAGTTTAAGACCACCCACAAATAAGTGCTTTCTCCCTCACACTGTGAAGTTCAAATAGTCCTAATCATTCCTAAGGAAATGTTCTTACACCATACCCACAGCAGTACCCGTTTATGCACAGCTATTGTTTCTTCACATTCTGTGGAAGAAAAAAAATCCGGTCCTAGTATCCCCCAACACCCACACATGCACACCTCATAGTGACAAAAATTTAAATACATGTCATCTCCCTTTTCTTTTTTTCTTTTTTCTTT